GAAAGATAGACAGGTAGCCAAATTTTTGATGAATAATTGTCTATTTTATAACGTTGTTAATATATTCTCTTTCATACTTAGTAAAACAAGGTGATACTTCTGATATAGGGAGTTCAATATTAATGGGTTTCTTGCTTAACTTTTCAGATTTCTATTGGCTTTGTGGTTGCTTTGAATTATCATAACCCTTCTTGAACCCTTATGAAGAATTCCAGGTAATTAAATCACTGGTTCTTCTGAATGATCTAAATGCATCCGTTGCCTTTGGATAAAGTGCATCTCTCTTAATTGATCAAGGGTTTTGCACCATTTTTGGGTCCTCAAAATTTTAATGTTTCTAAATGTTTGTTGCGAACATGCGATTGGAGAAGTGATGCACGGAGTTTAAACTTCCATTATTTTTTTGTTGACTGTTTAGTGAATACAATACTTCCAAGTTCTTTGTCACTTATCTGACCTGAAAAAAATATTTGGTCCTAGTCCTAGGCTCACATTTATTGATTTTTTTAATCATTCCTGATAGAAATTCAAACATCATCCTGCAATCAAAACACTGCTGGAAGGTGGGACTGTTCTTCAATATGGGGCTCGCACCTTGAATGAGGGTGGTTTTCAGGTAAATTGGTAATTTCTGTTTTACATAATATGTGTACAATACATCAAGAAAGAAGCTCAATGGAATGCTATCACTCTGAATTTTCTCCACATGGCTGCATCATGTATCTTTTTAAATTGGATATCCAAGGACAACAATTGTAAATATTCAAAATTATCCCTATAAGTATGCTGTCACCACTGAATGAAATGTTTACTGAAGAGTTAAGGTAGGAGGCTTTAAGAACAGAGTTTCGCATAGTTGGATCTCATTTTGTCAATCATAGTAATTTCATGTAAGATGTAGTTAAAGAACACTACAAGCAGAAGTAGACAATTTGTAATCCTTCTTCTCCTTGGTTTCTCAACTTTTGAATATATAGCACAGTGCGCTATTGCCAGACATTCTAGCGACATAGGTGCTTATGTTGCCAGACAGTGTATAGGGACCACACATTCAGGCAAAAGTTTACCTGATCAATGGTTTAGATTTACAGTTTGGCATATGTGGTCAGACTATCATTCTGAACCATTGATAAGATGGGTGTTTGCTTAACGTATGGTGCCAGATTTATAGTCTTGCGACATGTCTGCTATATTATAACAGAACAGTACTCTCTCCGCTTCCTCTCTGCTTATTTATAATTATATAGATGTGTTCGTAACTATGTATATATCATTTTTTTTTCTTTCTGTTATACATGTTATACAAATACAAATATGATGATAGTTAAATTTCAGTCTATCCCGTATCCAGTTTTCCCTGGAGGAGCACTTATTGGATGTTCAGCTGGCTTTTTAAATGTACCCAAAATAAAAGGAACTCATACTGCAATGAAATCAGGTATCATTTACCAAATAGTTCATCTAATTTATGTTTTATCTTACTTCTATTCAGTATGTCTAATTATGTGAAAATAATTCAGCATGCTCAAAATTTTAAGTGTTACAACAAATGCTGGTAGATTATATTTGTTAAGTCACGTTATACCTATTTACGGTTGATTGTTTCTGTTGGAAAGTCAAGTGGCCAAATGATCTAGCTCATAGTACATATTTTTCATGGTGAAGCACGTATTAGTATTATGAATTGGAAAATTCAGAATTTTTTTATGCGTTACATCAGTGCCTGTACTTCTAAATTGCTTTTAAGTTCATGAAGATATCTAACTTATTAGTTATATTACTACAGGCATGCTAGCTGCAGAAGCTACATTCAGTCTACTTCATGAAGGCTTAAGCATGGAAAAATATTGGGATGCTTTAAGGAATTCTTGGATATGGGAAGAACTGTACAGAGCTCGGAACTTCCGACCAGTTAGTATAAAATTCCTTTTCTTTCTCCTTTGTTTATGGTTTCAGAGTTTATCTACTCCCTATTTTTGCCCTACAGTTCTACAGTTGATAGCTTTTTATTGTAATCATTGGGGGATCAACTACCTCCTTTTTGAGCCCTATACTTATGGGTCAGCTCAGATTACTGTTACTCTACTGCCCTCCATCTCGTTCAGATTGATTATATAATTACCCTGATCCATGCAAAGTTTTGACTTATTTTTTCCTTGGTTTTCATTTCTTGGAGTAAGTTGAAAAAAGGCAAAATTTGTTTTATGTGGCTGGATTTGTCTGATGCTTCTTACTTTAAGCTTTGTACTTGGAAATTTATTATAGTTTTTGGTCACTGACCTTTGTGTATTATTGTAGGCATTCGAATATGGACTTATTCCTGGCCTGGCCTTAAGTGCTCTAGAACAGTGAGATCATATTGCTTCTTATTACTTTGACTGATTAGTGTTTTCTCATACTATTCAATGTCCAAACCTTAGTCGCCAGTATTTTCTGCCTATCAGTTACATAATGAAAGGAAGATCTCCCTGGACGCTGAAGCATGGAAAATCAGACCATGAAGCAACAAATGTGAGACATTATTCTGAAAACTATGAACTCAAAATACTGACTCAAATAGTCAGCACACTACAGTTTGGTACTAAGTGATTCAAATATTTGCAGGTTGCACAGTTCCACTCTCCAATTCAATATCCAAAGCCAGATGGGGTTTTATCTTTCGATATTCTAACCTCCTTACACAGGTTTTTAATCACCAACTTTCTTGTTTTCATGTTTCTTTTGGTTAAAGATTGGAGTGTTACAGGTTTCAAAGGTACCACCTTGCCAACATATGTTATACAATCAGGTTTTCATAACCTACTTCACCAGGCTCCGAAATTAAAGATACTTATAATGGCATGGAATGGAGGTTTTTCAGAGTTTTAGAACTCAGGGCACATCAATGTTTAAAATGAAATCTCAGTTCTTTGTGAATGAAGTAAAGAACAATGGGGACTTGCACAGAACTGTTAAAAGAGTCCAGAGGATATTTGCTCCAAAAGAGAGCCCTCTCACATCCCCTTTTTCATGTCGTAAGCTAAGCTTCTATTGGAGTTGCATGCTTCTAGCATAGATCCTTTTGGACAGTTATATTTTGTTCTTTCCCAACATGGTTCCGCTCCGCAGTAGGTTGAGGGAGTTATCCTACTTTAACAGAAATAGTTTGGTATGGCCAACCTCTGGTACAAAGGTGCCCCAATTTCCCACTCTTAGTATGTGATGAAATTTAGGTTTAACCTCAATGTGGTTCAAGTTGGCAGTTAAAGACTTGAGAAGCGGAGACGTGCTAGGCCGAGAGCCTAGGTTAAAGGGAATTCTTTGTTCTGTCCTTGAGTTTCAGCAGTGAATTAAGAAAAATTAAGATTTTTTCCTTTTGTGCTTCACTAATACCCAAAAAGAGAAAGGATACGTGTAGCTGACTACTAATAGGTAGGAGTTGAGGGATAATCACTGTCATTCCGTTGTCATAATGTAAAAAAATCACTTTAGTGGACTAAATCAAGTAGAGGCGGAATATTGCCACTTGTATGTAGCTTCTAACTGTCAGGCATTGTGTATTTGAAGACCACTAATATAGATTAACAAACTATTCTCACAATTATGGTTGAGCGTTTTAATGTATTGCATTTCACCAGAAAAATGAATACGGCTTCGTTATAGTGTGAGTGTCAGTCTAGTGACCATGGAGGTTTTCTACTGGATGTTTCAGTGTGCAACAAAAGCTCCTATTTCCTTTTATTCTTTTCCAGAATCTAGTTTATTAAGGATTTTTATCTCTTTGTATATGTGGTTTGTGTGTTTGGATATGCCTCGATGCTTTTGTACTTCTTAAATTTTTCTTTAGCTGTCAAAGAACTAGCAACTCAGACTGATATTGGTACTTTCCTGCTTGCTCTTGTCCTATTGTGTAGTAAGTTATGAATTTATCTTTGTTTACTTGTATAGGAGCAACACAAATCATGAACATGACCAACCACCTCACCTTCGGTTGAGAGACCCCAAGATTCCTGAACTTGTAAATTTGCCAGAGTATGCTGGCCCTGAGACACGATACTGTCCTGCACTGTGTATACGAGTAACGTCCATTCTATTATTGCTTGTGTTTGATTGGTCATCTGTGAAAGGATTCTCTTATTCATCTCAAGTTTTAAACTGTAGGTATGTCCCTGATGAAGAGGGTCAGCCGAAGTTGCAGATCAATGCTCAAAATTGCCTACATTGCAAGGTAATTTGAACGGGTAGTAAGAGTTACCTTTTACGTATGCCAAATTTTCAACATATAAGCATCCCATTATGCAAATGTAAGGCATATCTCATACACCTTTACTAGTTTGTCTTGCACTTCGTACAATTAATCTTCTTCGTACAATTAATCTTTCGGGAGAGGTTTTGGTCTGCAAATCAAATTTACGCCTCTCTTTATCCCACACTCGTGTCATTCTGGAAGTCGTAAGTTGGGAACCATACATAGTAGGATGCTTTCACATGCAATGGTTGCTTCCAACACGCTCTTACATCAACCGACCTTCTTTTATCTTTTTTCGAAGTTTTGAGGATGCACTGGTAACCTACAAACTTTGTTAGTCATCTTTGTAATCTCAGGGTTGCAACTGCCGGCTTGTATGCTGAAGAAAAAACCTGGCATTTTGTATCGATTCTTCAGCCAAATATTTGCTTTGCTTGAACAAAAGCGAATAAACAAAAGCAGTCATTTCTTTTCGTTGCTTTACAACGTCTTCTTGCACTCATTCGCTTACGTTGAAGATGTGCTGATTTTGGTTTGATGTGTTTTACAGGCATGCGATATCAAAGACCCGAAGCAAAACATTAACTGGACTCCACCGGAAGGAGGTGGCGGTCCAGGCTACTCCATAATGTAGAGAGTAAACAAGTTGTTTTGCTATTGTCATTGCTAAATGTTAACAGTTTCTGTATACAATAATTCTAGTGCGTTTTCGCCAACGTGAATAAAATGTTGAATCAAAATCGAACGCATGGTTGTCTGCGGTCTCACAATGTGAGTTACAAAATGTGGAGGGTGTGTCGCGGCCCTCGCTAATGAAAACGCCTGAATTACATAAAAATGTAGGATCCAGGAGTACAAAGAAGTCGGAAAAGAAGAAAAGAAAACAACATTCCGCAACTATATCAATTGTTGGCTCATAACACCTTTGCCCGCGCCTTCCATTGAATCCATGGCTACGTAACTACATCAACAGTCCTCGCCAATTCAACAGCTGCTCCAACATAACTATGCGGCGTTAACTTTAGTAGATTGGTCTTGGCTTCATTAGGTAATTCCAGGCCTTGTATAAAATCTACTATCCTCTCCTTGGTAACAGCTCTTCCTCTGGTTAGTTCCTTCAACTTCTCGTAGGGCTCAGGAACTCCGTATCTTCGCATAACTGTCTGTATTGGTTCAGCAAGAACTTCCCAAGTAAGGTTCAAGTCCTCAGATATGCAACCTTCGTTGACCTGAAGCTTTGATATTCCCTGAAGAGTGCTTTTGTAGGCAAGAAGAGAATGTCCCAATCCCAAACCCATGTTCCTCAAAACAGTTGAATCAGTCAAGTCACGCTGCCAACGTGAAATAGGTAACTTCATGCTCAGATGACAAAGATTCCCATTAGCCACGCCGAGATTACCTTCACTGTTTTCAAAATCAATAGGGTTTACCTTGTGAGGCATCGTTGATGACCCAATCTCACCGGCCTTAGTTATTTGCTTGAAATAACCCAAAGATATGTAGTCCCATATATCTCTATCAAAGTCGATCAATATGGTATTGAACTGGCAAATTGCATGAAAGAGTTCTGCCATGTAGTCGTGGGGTTCAATCTGCGTGACATATGGATTAAAGCTCAATCCAAGAGATGTTACAAACTCTTCAGCAATCTGAGGCCAATCAACATCAGGATAGGCAACAAGATGAGCATTGTAATTTCCAACAGCCCCAGCAAATTTCCCCATTATGTCCACCCTAGAAATCTCTTGCCTTTCTCTTCTTAATCTGACAGCAAAATTTGCCATTTCCTTGCCCAAAGTTGTGGGTGAAGCAGGCTGTCCGTGAGTATGAGATAGCATAGAAATATGAGCATTGTCTTTAGCCATGTTGCATATTGCCTCAATCAAATCATCCATGACCGGATATATCACATCATTCATGGCTCCTTTCAGCATCAATGCATGTGCGAGGTTGTTGATGTCCTCAGATGTGCAAGCAAAATGAACAAATTCAAGTACCTTGGCTATTTCTGGATGTGGTTGGCATCTCTGTTTCAAATAGTATTCCACCGCCTTCACGTCATGGTTTGTCACTCTCTCAATCTTCTTTATTTCTAATGCATCGTTATGACTAAATCCATCAATTATTTCTAGCAAATACAACTGAGCATTTTCGCTAAAGGTAGGTACCTCTGTGACTTGAGGGATTTGTGAAAGCCATAGCAACCATTTGATCTCAACTAGAACACGGAAATAGATCAAACCATACTCACTCATGTATGGAGCCAAGTCCTTGACTTTACCCCAATACCGACCATCCAATGGTGACAACGCCATCAAACTGACAAGCTCAGATTCACCAGAAGATTTACCAGACACCATCTTCACACCCAGAATGTTATCATTGGTGTTATTTCTGGTGTATCTAACAGCCATATCCACTGTCCTGGCCAGTTTAACAGCTGCTCCAACATAGCTATGCGGTGTCAGCTTTGATAAAATCGACTTTGGTTCTTCAGGTAATTCCAAGCCTTTAATGAACTCTCTTATACTTTCTTTGGTAACTGTTCTTCCTCTTGTTAGTTCCTTCAGCTTCTCATAAGGCTCAGGAACACTATATCTTCGCATAACAGTTTGTACTGCTTCCGCAAGCACCTCCCAAGACTGGTTCAACTCTTCACTCATGCGAGCTTCATTAACCTGTAGCTTTGCTATTCCCTGCAGTGTGTTTCTGTAAGCAAGCAAAGAGTGACCTAGTCCGACACCCATGTTCCTTAGAACAGTAGAATCGGTCAAGTCACGCTGCAAACGTGACTTAGGCAACTTCTCACTCAGGTAGGAAAGACTTCCACCAGCAAAACCAAGATTACCTTCACTATTTTCAAAATCAATTGGGTTCACTTTGTGAGGCATTGTTGACGACCCAATTTCACCAGCCTTGGTTGTCTGCTTGAAGTAACCCAAAGATATGTAGCGCCATATATCACTATCAAAGTCAATCAATATATTATTGAAACGGTTGAGGGCATTGAAAATTTTTGACATATAGTCATGAGTCTCAATCTGAGTAACGTAAGGATTAAAACTCACTCCAAGAGATGTTACAAACTCTTCAGCAATCTGAGGCCAATCAACATCAGGATATGCAACAAGATGAGCATTGTAATTTCCTACTGCACCAGCAAACTTCCCCATGATTTCAACCTGAGAAATTCTGCGCCTTTGTATGCTTAACCTGACAGCGAAAATTGCCATTTCCTTCCCCAAAGTGGTGGGTGACGCAGTCTGACCGTGAGTGCGAGAAAGCATGGGAACGGAAGCATTATCCTTTGACATGTCACATATTGCCTCAACCAGCTCATCCATGACAGGAAACATAACATTGTTGATAGCATCTTTTAACATCAACGCATGAGCAAGATTGTTGATGTCCTCAGATGTGCAAGCAAAATGGAAAAACTCGAGCACCTACAATAACAAAACATTACACGATTCTCAAACATATGAAACGAAGCTATCAACAGGACGGTATCAAATATAGAGGAGCAGCTTCAAGCTTGTTTCGGTATTTAAATTACTCGATAAAGGGATTCACCTTAGCTATCTCTGGATGCAAACTGCACTTCTGTTTCAAAAAATACTCAACTGCTTTCACATCATGATTAGTAATTTTCTCAATTTTCTTTATTTCCGCTGCATCATCGACGCTAAATCCATCGATGATTCCTTGCAAGTAAGATCGAGCATCTCCACTGAAACTGGGCACCTCTGTGACCTCAGGGATTTGTGAAAGTTTCAACAGCCATTTGATCTGAAATTAAGAAAAACAATAACACCTTCATCAAATTCAAATTCAAATTCAAATAAAGAAAACGCAACAAAATTTACGAAAACTCGGTAGCAAATTAAACCAAGTACCTCAACGAAAACTCTGTAGTAGATAAGGCCATATTCGCTCATAAAAGGAGCCAATTCCTTGACTTTACCCCAATAACGGCCGTCCAACGGCGACAAAGCCGTCAAAATCGAATGCTCGATTTCGCCCTTGCCGTGGCATGTACCATTGGTATCTTCGATCGCGGATCTTAGAGAGCAGTCTATACGGCTCCGAGGTAGTGAGAAAGAAGAAGCGTTGGAAGGATGACGATGAAGGTAACTTGGGGATTTGGATGGCATAGAACTGAAGAAGCAGGAGAGTTGGTTGCGATTCGGAACCCTAGAAGAAAACGAAGAGGAAGGAGAAGAGGCTGCGACGTCGATGAATCGGGAGGCCATTTTGACGAGCTCGGAAATCCCCCGGAAAATCCCAGAAAGGGGTCTGAAAAGTGAAAACCCTAGATTGGTGGCGACGAGGATGATGGAGACGCAGTGCGCCAAACACTCCAAAAACTAAAAATTTAATCTATACCTGTACTGACTATTTTGCCCCTGTTCGGTTTGGTTTAGAGAAATTATTTATTTATTTATTATTATTTGACTCTTATCCCAATTCTTTCCTTCGACCTTTTCAATCTTCTTTTTTTTTTCTTTTTTTTTTTTTTTTCGATTTTGATAATTATCTAGATGAAATTTGCGATTGAATTTTGTTGAATTTTTTATTTATTTAATTTAATCTGTAATTTTTGTAAAATATGCAGGAGAGTTTGAAGTCAAATAGGGGTAAGCACATATTAAGCTTATGTATCTCAATGTGCTTGTTTGTAGATTTCGTACGAGTTTATGACTATGTATCAAATCGTTATGTAATATTCTCCTTTGTATGTAAATAGTACCATATACAAAATCTTCGTATGATTTTTTTTCAATCCCGTAGTATCGGGCGGGCATTCTTTGCTAGTCTTTGCTAATAGGAATGGACAGAAATACACTTTGGGTCTCAAGCTTCATAAAATTTGGGTAAATTACATAAAACTACTTTAACTATTGGGCCCACATGATTTCATACACCATCTTTAAAAAATGTTAATGGCATACCTCATCTTATGAATTTGTTACAATTTCATACATTCCGTCAGTTTCTCTATCAATTCTTTCGTTAAATAGTGACTTGGTTTGAGACGGGATCCACTCTCAATTCCAACTAGATTAAAAAATCAACTAAATATTAAAAATACAAAATAAATAACCAAACCCACGTCCAGATCCCCTTCCTTCCTCCTGCAACTCCTGCCCTCTCTTCCTTCATCTCCACCTCCCTCCCATGGAAGTGACCGCAAGATAATTCCGAACCCTAACCCTTATTTAAGAAGATGTATTCAATTCAGATTTTGAGATATTTGAATGAATTTATAAATCTGTGAATTTTTCTAAAATTTAATTAATTTGTAGAAATTCTATGAAAATATTTTATTTAATTTTCTCAAAATCTCAGGAAAAGATGTAAGATTTGTGAACGTTTAAAATACACAACGAAATCCCTCAAATTCCTTCAAATTTTTCAACTTTTTAAAATTCTTCAAACAAATTTGCAATTAAATACACCTAAAATATTATAAAATTCTACATAATTTAATGACGAAATTTAATGTACATACGTCACATTGGATAGGATTGCTGGGGGTTCCAAATCGCTTGGTGATTAATACTTAATCGGCCACACTGCTTATTATTTAACCTCAATTGTTGTCATATGGGTTTCTTTCTCTGGTATGTTTGGAGATTGCAATTTGCATGAACACTTCAATTTCTTGGTTACTTCATTAATTTCTTGCAATTTCCAATTTGCCACATGTGTTTTTTTGGATTTGATTCTTCATTTAATTGTTTTGTTTGTCTTTGGAATTATTGCAATTTTCAGAGAAGCCGGATCTGACTGCGTCTGCAATTACATCAGAGATCAACCGCGATTTTGTTATCCTGCAGAGATTTGGGCAAGATCTGAAGCAGTTCCTCTCTGTATGTTTATTTCTCTGTAGCTCTGTCTTTTCCAATTGATGGTGTTCATGTTACACTATGATGATTTAATTGTTTCTCAATTTGCAATTGTTCGTAAATAATCGTGGCATATATGAATTGCAACCTACTTTCATATGAAAGGGATGATATATCATGTTGCTGACTTGATTGTTTATGTTTTTTTTTTGTTTGCAAATGGTGTTATTATGATCGATTAGGTGATTTGCTTTTTTTTTTTTTTTTTTTACGATGATAACTGGTGGCAAACCACGGTTATACATCCTTTTGGAAGCCAATAAGAATCATAAAGGCATTTCAGTCTCTCCTGATCACAAGTCTGGCTTCCATACAAGCAGCGAGTTTTGAATCCAAAACCTCCAGTTTTTAGTTTGAAGGAATTTGAGCTCAAATTTTGTAAGCACTACATTGGATTGTATTGCACTTGGTTTGATGTTATTTTGGTCGACAATGCAAAGATAGGAAACAAAGAGGATGGCACATACAACTGCCCCTCTCCGCTTTGGATTGTATTCATTCTTCATGTTAACTTTGTTCTGCGGGCTTCCTTCCTATGGCTAACTTAAGCATTTAAGTTATTCTTTTTTTTTTTTTTTTTTTTAAAGATATTTAGCTATTTAGGTTATTCTTTTTTTGCCTGATGTTGAACGAGATTTCAAATTTGAATTCTGGTGCCTATTACACATGGCCCCACATGGTGTGAAGAGAATGAGCATATATGCAAGTCCTCCTCCTTTTTGTGGTGGACCCATAAAGGATGGAAGCTTGTGCAAGTTGCTGCTATAAAATGGGGAGTCCGACTGCTTAGTCCCCACCCATCTTTCCCAAGAGAAAAGAAGAAGAAGAAACAAAAATAGAGCCAGTAAGGCTCCCCACCCATCATTTTTTTTTAGTAACATTAATATTTGCATTTGGTTGTTTTTAGTAACATTAATTCTAACATATCTTTAATTAAAATTAAAAAAAAAAAAAATTCCCACTCCTGCATTCTTTATCACTCTCTTCCTCTCTACTTCTATTTCAAAAATAAAAATAAAAAAATTTCTCACACACTTTGTGTGTACCCATAAGCTAGTCTATATCTATATTATTAAGAGAAGAGGGCTTGTCAACTCTTTGCACCCTTTTCTTTCAATTTTGCCCCTCACTTTTGAATACACAATGTTAACATGAGGAAGGCAAAATAGTAATTTTGTACCTTTTGACAAAATGACAATCATATCCTCTCTTTTTTCCTATTTTGTCATCACTTTTGATATATAATATTTACATAAAAAGGGCAAAATGGTAATTATGTAATATTAAGAAAAATATGCCCTTATTAAGAGATCCCATCATCACTGTCTCATACTCTTTTAAAAATTTTAAAAACTAATCACACTTATTAATCAAAAACAAAAAAGAAAATGAAATTGTTCACACATGTGTGTGCTTATACCCTAGTAATAATTAAGCTCTTCCACTGAAGTCCTATACATGTACTTCCAGAATCCAAAGCTTTGTTATGTCTGTCCCCTAGCAGACCTGGTATGTGTTTGTAATTTTAGCGTGTGTGTGTGTGTATTGAGCTCTTAAGAATAAGAAAAATCGATAACTCACTAGTTTTACTGCACATTATTGAAACAAGAAATGAACGTTAACTTTAAAATCTTGCATGGACAGAGAGAGGATTGGCTGTCGCGTGTGCGTTTCAGCGTTTTCTCGTGCATTTTGGTTTCCGATCTTGGCCCTACCCAACTTTCTCCCGTCGCCACCAAGCTTTTTGCCATTTTCAATTTTTTTTTTTTTTTCATGCAAACTAAAGCCAATATTTACACTAACTATTTTACGCTTGTTCGGAAGTTAGTAAGTTGCACTGGGAATAGAATACAACTCGTTTGATAATTATTTTAAAGCAAGGCTTAGTAATTATCTCGTTTTAGGTTTTAGTTATAAACTTTTACTTTTCGTGCTTAAGACATAAAATGTATATTGATGAAAAAGGGTGGTGAGAGCAACGGTGGGAAGAGATAAAATAAAAGGAATGAATAAAAACAAATTCAAGATTTTGAAAAGAACTTAAATAGTCTTTTATTTTTTGCTTCAGTTTTCAATTTCTTCACCTTTTCTTCTATCTTTCTTCTATGTCTACCATCACCATCCTTCCTCAAGTTTGGTGCCTACAACCGAAGATTTGTAGTATTATAAATATTCTTTTTCACGACTAATTCATCTTTTATCCTTAACTTTTACAAAATTTAAAATTATCCTATATTTCTGCAATTAAAATTTAAAAATTATCCAATACAATCCAATCTTGAGTACAAAAAACGATTATGCGTTTCTTTGACAAAGTCCATTTGACTTCAGGTGAAATCATGATATTGTGTGGGGATTTTGATCACTCTTGATTGCCTCGTAATTGAGTGGAGGGCAATATCGTTATGGGATTATAAGGAATATATGCAGCAAGGAATTGACGTGACAAGCAAGCAATTTGGTGAGTGGTGCTAAATCATCAAGAATAAAAGTTGACACACTGAGACTAATCCCAAAAACACATTTAATTTTCAGATAACAAATCTTCATAATCTAAATCCACCATAATTACCGGGAACAAAACACAAATCACAAGGTGCTACAACCATACGGTACTCGACCGAAAATTAACCCCATCATTCGATATACAACTAAAACGATATGTATAGAACAGGCTACAACCAGACTCAAAAACAGAACGGGGAGGAGGGGGAGGAAGGGAAGGGAGGGTAAGTCCTAACTTGAGGCGGCTATGCTTGTTCAGGCAAAGATTCTTTTGGAGAAGACACCTCGGTCCTCATCACAGCTCTTCAAGGGATTAGCACTTTGGATGTGTAGTCGGGTTTTTGTTGATGTGCTACAATAAGAAATCAAAGTTAGTTCTGAAAGGTGCCTTTGTGGGGCCTTAGCTGTAGGCCTTAAGGCTCGCAATCAAAACTAACTAAGTGCTATGAGTGTCACTGCTATCTCAATATAGCAGATGTAGAACAATTGTGTTTTAAGTTAATTATTTGCGCCCCAAGTTACTCCAACTTCTTGTTATCAAAGGATTGTCGTGAATGGGTTAAGTCCACATTAAGTTCTTTTTCTTGCCTTGTAAACAAGGACTTTTAATTCATAGTCTTGTATGTTCAGATCAAGGGAGTCCAAAGCCCCTTAATAAAGCATGTTGATCAAGTTAACCAAATCCAGATGCGAATGGAACTTCCCAAAATAGCAAAACATATGAAAATGACTTGAATACATATTGAAAGCTGTTGAAACTGCTGTGCAGTTAGAAGAGTGTGCATTGCTTGATTGTTTGGATACAACTGCTGCTGACCCGCCCCGCCAAAAGAAGCGTAGTTCATCATAGGTCCACCATTTGGCATAGCTTGGCCAGTCATAACTTTCAGATGCTGAATTTCTTCTTTCTTCTTTCAGTGCATCGTTCAATGCTACGAGACAAACAAAAACAATATTGTTTCGGCAAGTCAATTTCTTCTTTCAGTGCCTCGTTTAATTGTTTCTTGATTTGCAATAAGGGGGACAACTGGTGACAAGTCACTGTTATCCACCCCTTCCAGGAGCCAGGAAGACTCGCAGAGGCATTTCAGCCTCTCTTGACCACAAGTATGGCTTCCACCCTAGCAACAAATAAAGAGACTGAGAACAAAAATCTACCCATTTGAAAGACCTTCAGTTTTTAGTTTAAAAGCATTCGTGCACAAATTTTGTGAGCACTAAATTGGATTGTATTGCACTTGGTTTGATGTTGTTTTGGTCGACAATGCAAGGATAGGAGAAACAAAGAGCATGGCACATATAACTGCCCCTCCCCATTGACCTTCTCAAATTTGGATCACTTAAGCATTGGATTGTATTCATTCTTCATCTTAACTTTGTTCTGCAGGCTTCCTTCCTAGGTCTAACTTAAGCATTTAAGTTATTCATTTTTTTTTTTAAAGATATTTAGCTATTTAAGTTATTCCTTTTTTGCCTGATGTTGAACGAGATTTCAAATTTGAATTCTAGTACCTATTATACATGGTCCACATGGTGTGAATAGAATTAGCATATATGCAAGTCCTCCTCCTTTTGTGGACCCGTAAAGGATGGAAGCTTGTGGGAGTTGCTGCTATAAAATTTGGAGCCTTACTGCTCAGTCCCCACCCATCTTCTCCAAGAGAAAAGAAGAAGAAAAAATAAATAGAGCCAGTAAGGCTCCCCACCCATCATTCTTTTTTTAGTAACATTAATATTTGCATATGATTGTCCTTACCAAGCAATTCAGAGACATGGAATTGGGGAACACTCAGGCGTCTCCTCCTCCTCCTCGTCGTGGTGCATGTCAGCTACCATTTGCTACTGAGATTCCATGTGGACGTGAAGAACCACCCATAAACTGGCTGGTGAAAACTAATTCATCAAATTTAGTAGATAAGGATGATAAGCAGGATGGGAAACCAGAAAGGCCCTACAACACTTTTCAAAATAAAAAAAAAATGCCCTACGACGAACGTTCAACAGTCGTAAAACATTGTATATGCAGTAGAAGGCAGCCAGGAGGCAGCTGGTGAAGTGATTCATACATAGGACGTCTTATATATCGAGGTCTGCTGTCAACTAATAACATCAATATTATTATTATGTATAATAATTAAGCTCTTTCATTAAAGTTCTATATATGTACTTCCAGAATCCAGAGCTTTGTTATGTCTGTCCCCTAGCAGACCTGGTATGTATTTGTAATTTTAGTGTGTGTGTGTGTGTGTGTATTGAGCTCTTAAGAATAAGAAAAATCGATAACTCATTAGATTTACTGCACATTATTGAAACAAGAAATGAACGTCAACTTTAAAATCTTGCAAGGAGAGAGAATATCGGCTGTTGCATGTGCATTTCAGCTTTTACTCGTGTATTTTAGTTCCTGATCTTGCCCCTACCCAGCTCTCTCCGGTCTCCACCAAGCTTTTTGCCATTTTCAACTCTCTTTTTTTTTTTATGCAAACTAAAGCCAATATTTACGCTAACTATTTTACGCTTGTTCGGAAGTTGGTAAGTTGCACTGGGAATAGAATACAACTCGTTTGATAATTATTTTAAAGCAAGGCTCATTTTGTAATTATCTCGTTTTAGGTTTTAGTTATAAACTTTTACTTTTCGTGCTTAACATATAAAATGTATGTTGATGAAAAAGGGTGGTGAGAGCAGCGGTGGGACGAGATAAAAAAAATGGAATGAATAAAAACAAATTCAAGATTTTGAAAAGAACTTAAAATAGTCTTTTACCTTTTTGTTTCAGTTTTCAATTTCTTCACCTTGTCTTATATCTTTCTTCTAAGTCTACCATCACCATCCTTCTTCAAGTTTGGTGCCTACAACCGAAGATTTGCAGTCTTATAAATATTCTTTTTCATGACAAATTCATCTTTTACCCTTAATTTTTACGAAATTTAAAATTATCCTATATTTCTGCAATTAAAATTTAAAAATTATCCAATACAATCTAATCTTGCGTACCAAAAACGATTATGCGTTTCTTTGACAAAGTCCATTTGACGCCAGGTGAAATCATGATGCTATATTGTGTGGTGGTTTTGATCACTCTCAATTGCCTCGTAATTGAGTGGAGGGCAATAACGTTATGAGATTAGAAGGAATATATGCTGCAAGGAGTTGACGTGAAAAGCAAGAAATTTAGCGAGTGGTGCTAAATCATCAAGAATAAAAGTTGACAAACTGAGACTAATCCCAAAAACACATTTAATTTTCAGATAACAAATCTTCATAATCTAAATCCACCATAATTACCAGGAACAAAACACAAATCACAAGGTGCAACAACCATACGGTACACGACCGAAAATTAACCCCATCATTCGATCTACAACTAAAACGATATGTATACAACAGGCTACAAACAAAGGTGTCATCTAGGTGTATCTAACCAGACTCAAAAACAGAAGGGGGAGGGGGAGGAGGAGGGGAAGGAAGGGAAGCGAGGGTAAGTCCTAACTGGAGGCGGCTTTGCAACTACAATTTTTGAACAATGCCTCATCCGTCTTTAATTTTTGGTAGACCCGATAACATTTCAATCCTTCGTTACAGATTGGTTGACCTCTGATGTACTATCTTTCTGGCTTGGCGAAGGCACAGATCCTCCTATTTTCAACTCCCCACTTTGTTGTTGCTGCTGCTGTTGCTGTGCTGTTGCTGTTGCTGATGCTGCTGCTGCATCTGTTGCTGCTGAAGTTGATGGAGCTGATGCTGCTGAAACTGGTGCTGCTGCTTCTGAGAATGAATCTGGAGCTGTTGAAACTGCTGTGCGGTTAGAAGGGTGTGCATTGCTTGATTGTTTGGATAGAACTGCTGCTGACCCGCCCCGCCAAAAGAAGTGTAGTTCATCATAGGTCCACCATTTGGCATAGCTTGGCCAGTCATAACTTTCAGATGCTGAATTTCTTCTTTCAGTGCATCGTTTAATGCTACAAGACAAATAAAAACAATAATGTTTCGGCAAGTCAATTTCATTCACATAAGGATCAAGAACCAGAAGTTACACGGAATCCGATCAGCAAGAAAACCTAAATTATAGTATTGTTCTGATACTACACAAACAAGATGCTCCAGTCTAATTAGAGCAAAACTTCTACATCGGAATGCTAATTGGCTCTAAGAATGAAACATCCAATACGATGGCCAGTCCACTTCAGGTTAGCCAGCATGTCGTTTATGGCTACTACAACATTGAAAATGGGCATAAATTCATGGAAAACTTTCTTGTCCATATCAATGGGGGAGGCATACCCAGCACCGCTTTGATTAGTCACAGGAAACTAGATCCAATGACTGTACACAGGCTATGAATTAGTAGCAAATAAAGAGACTAAGAACAAAAATCTACTCATTTGATAGACAAGCAGTAGAATGGTCAAGGCAAGTCTACATTTACAGCTCAGTAATAAAAGCCACAAACACATAAACCTCTCCGACTAAACATTCATCATAAAGATGCCAACTCATGCAATATAAATTTAAAAACACTAATTTAATTTAGTACCTTCCGGATAAGTTGAAGAAACAATCAAATCAAATCATAAACTAATTTAGCACATAATTTAGTACCATCTGGATAATTTGAATAAACAATCAAATCATGAACTCATTGCCAAGGAACCAAAGTTCTTTTGCCGAATCTTAAAACGTAGACTACAATAAATTAGGTATTTGGTAAAAGTACATGTAGCAATAAGTCATCATCAACCAAAATCAGAATTAGCAACCAATTTTAATTCTGAGTTAGCAACAGGAAACAATGTCTGCCAACCTAACTTATGGCATCTTGGATTCTAATCTAACAAAAAATCAATTATATGTATGCTAGCATCTACTTATTGGATCGTCCAATATGTACAACATTATTGTGTGTTAGCGTGCTTGTATCATGCTTAATTCTTCCTTTCAGCCAATGACCACAGACAATTTAATAAAATTAAGGTATGTAGCTTTTCTTGTTTCTATACATCAATATTACATGAAAATTAATTCTAATCATGAAAGGAAAAGGGGGCTCACCATCTTGCAAGTGAACCTGTTGCTCCATTGTTTGCAAACGCAGTTTCAGTTCACTGTTCTCAGCAGTCAGACCATTTGTATCTCTCTGCTCATAAAGAAATCCATAAGAATAATCACTTATATCCTCATTATGTAAGCTATATCAAACAGTCATGTGAGTAGTGAAGTGGAAACGAAGGGAATCATAAGCTAAGACATTCATCTAATCAGTCCAATAAAGAGAACCTGGTCTAATAAAGGAATGGGTTAAGCCGATGAAATTTACCTGCAAGAGAGTCAATTGAGCAGACAAGGATGTTGCCTCTGTTTGCAACGTCTGGACTTTCTGTTCAAGCTCAGCAATATATCGCATTTTCCTTTCTTTTGACCTTGCAGCTGACTGCCTATTTGCCCAGATCCTAATGCATGTCAACCAAAGGTAAAATATTAAGCATAATAGTTGAAGCAATGTGCAAAACAAGGAGACAACAAACGCTTTTATTTTCATTTAAGAAGGGAAAATGAAGAAGGGCAAAAACTAGAAAGCACCAAAGCAAATCAGATCCACTTCAAGGATAACATGATGTCACATGGGTATTAATAGAAAAAAAAAAAAAAAAAAAAAAAAAAAAAAGGAAAAGAAATCAAGCCAAGCCCATCCATACCACCCCTCTACACATGATTTCTAGAAAGAACAACTCAAATTGCCCAAAAAATCAGCCTGTATGAAGAGACAGAATCATAAGGGCATGCTTTTAGATGTAAACCAGACAATATGATGAGCTGCAGTCATCAATAATCTTACTCTTGGGTAACATGAGTATAAAAAATGACCATAAAATTTTCATCCAGACAGTTTTCAAAGAAAGTGTAATAGATATTGAATGATACTGCTACACGAACTATGTCCCACAACCACTTGTGAAAATGGTTTAAACAAACATATTTCTATTGAACTCCATTGAAGTATGACCAGTTCGAACAACAATGCATCTCTAGGCCCCAATTAATTTATTGTAGTCCAATTGGGGGAGCAAATGACCGTTATGTAACAAATGAGCAACACAGAATCCTGGCACATTGTAACTTGAAAGCAACTTAACATTTAAAAAAAATAAAAACAAGGTATAAGTCATTTAGTAAGAGAACTTGGAAATGCATTATCCACTACTTCTGGCTTTAAACCAATGTCAAACACCTCATACATCAAATTATATATGAAAACTCATATGCAATAAGAACAAAGTTATTCACCAGTGAGTCAGTGATATACCACAATAACAACGTTGAATGGATTCTTAAAAAGCTAAGAACTTTGACTCTTAAACATTGATAAAACATTGAATGAACTCAAAACAAAGGGCAGACTATTGTCTGGAATTAGAATTACAAATGCTAATACTTTTATAACACCATAATCCTCAAGCCACACAAACATGTGTATGGGCACATGGAGAATAAACACATGTCCTTGCATATGAAACACTACTGCCATCAATAAAGGAAAAGTAGCCTCACCAGCAAACTTTAACAAAAAACAAAGTTTTTTAAGAGACTGACACTTACGTATTTTAAAATAGTAGGATTCTAAAAAATGACTACCAAACCTAGGCTTGAATACATGTTCAAATAACACGTGAAAGCAATAGCAATACAAAGTACTAACAACTCAACTTTGCTACCAAAAAATACTAACAGCTGAATTCCTAGTTAAGAGTAACATGATATATGATTACTCAAGTATTAATACCTCTTTGCACGTTTTGGATCAACCAGGGCGAGCTCTGCAAGCTTAGTAGCTGACAGGGCTTTCTTGGAATCAGCTGCATTGATATCTTCTGAACTGGAAACCAGCATCTCTGGTTTGATGGTTGACGACCCATCCATTGACTGGCTATGTTGGTGCCTAACTCTAGGCCTCTCATTAGAACCGATGGCAATATTCTCTGCAGACGAAGTGGGTGCTCTTGATGATGGTGCTATTGCTGGAGCAGGTGTTGCTGCAGAAGATGATGGCTCCCCGAATTGAAAGGATGATGTAGCAGATGACGAATTGAACTTTTCCATATCAAGGTACATAGAGAACAAGTCTTCCTCCGTGTCATCCGAAAATGAAGGACCATCCGCACCACCCACAACACCAAGGTCACTATCAAAGCTAATATCATCTGGAAGGGTCAAGATTTCCGAATGAGCACGTCTATGGCCCAATTTCCTTGGTGGGTTATCTGGCATTCGGCTAATATCATGGCTAAAGAGACTAGATTCAGCAGACATCCCATGACCAAAATGACCCGAGTCCGCACTAGCACCCGAGGCCAGTGGAGGGAATGGTGATGAAGAGGATGGCTCAGGTTTCACATTGAAAGCAGCTCCGGCCGGCAAGAAACCCGAGTACCTGCCTGATGGGGGTGGGAAACCACCACCATGGGCAGGGGACTTGTCCTTATCCATCTCTATAAGAATCACAAACTAAATTTACCCTTAAAATAACTAAGATACCAAAAATCCCAAGAAATGCCAACTCCTTTACGAGCTGATCAAAATCTAAGCCAAAGTATCCAAATTCAGATCCTCAAATAAGAAAAAGAGCCAATTGAGATATGAAACAACACGAACATACTCCCTCCAATCAAAAAAGTAAAAGTTGCATAAATTACAAACCCCAGGAAATAGAGATCTGACAGCGACAAGTGCAAAATAAATACAAGAGCTTGAGCTTCAAAAGGAAATTAAGCAAACACGTACAAGACCATCAGCACGAAAAAAACCCTAGAAACCATCGCAGAGCAAAGCACAGCAGCTGAACATGGTAAATTTCCGGGAAAATATGGGAAATTTGGTGGGAATTTTCCCGGAAAAATAGTACATGGGACTCGGAATTGTTCTTACAGAGGCAGATCTTCGGATTGGGAGCTGGAAAGCGAGAGAACCAATCACGCAGCTTTTGAAGAAAGCGAAATTCGAATGAGAGCAGTCACATGGCACAGAGAGATAGAGATCTTATGGCTTGTTTAATAATTGTTGAGAATAAGTTTGGAAATGGAAGAAATAGAATAAGACTACCGTTGGAATGTTTATTAAAAAATTTATGAATCCGGGTAAGAATAATATTAATGTGATTATTACGTTGGAAAACGAATGAATAGGTTTGAAATTTTTACTTTAACGATAAAGATAAAATAAAAAGTAAAATAAATAGTATCATGGTTGATTTTTTAATGTAAAAAGTATGATTTTTCGTTAAAGTAAACAGTATCAAAAACTTTTCGTTAAAATTTCCTTATTAATTTACATAAATTGTTTACAAGATGTTCATTAATCACATAAATAGGATATACCTTTTTGACATGTGCTTACGTTTCTACCAATTGATTTTTATATGTTAAATTAAAGTTTATTTATGAATTTTTAACTAAAAATTATGAAATTTAAGTTTTTTATTTAAATATTTTTTGTAAAAAAAAATCAAAAATAAATTGAAAGTCAACCCTGAACCAGGTTTTTCGTGTTCGTTATTTTTTTCCTAAAGTTTTAAATTTTAAAATTATTAAAAACTATAAGGTGTCGAGTTGCTTTAACTTTTTTTTATTATTATTAATGTGTGATTTTGTTTAAAATTAATAAAAAGTTTCAATATTAACAACATATCAATAATATTATGTTAATTATAAAAAACTCAATCATATATTATGATACTTAAATGCATTTATACAAACAAAAATTACAAAATCTATCATTGCAACTGTCACTCTGTTTCTCATAGTTTTTATATTTTAGAATAAGGCAATACAAATCAATGCAGTGTCTGTTTCCTTATTTCACTGCAATGCAGTGTCCATTTTTTTTTTTTTTTTTAATTGAGATGATTCCTCCAGGTAACAGAGGGCAAGAAAGAGTGATAAAATATATATGTCCTAACTATTTATAGGGTTCATATCTCAAAATCAATTCCTTGGGGATCCAACAAACCTCTCCGCCTTCCTTTCTTCCCCCTCAACTCCTCTTTCTCCCTCGCACTGCCACACCTCACTGTTGTTAACAAACCCAAACTTCAATTGCAGGTGATCTGTGCTCTAAGTCTGATTTTTTTTTTTTACTCTCTCCTACTGTGTTAGCTTTTTTATTTGTCCCCTCTTTCTTTTTCTTCTTCATCTTTGAGATTTCTCTCTCAACTAGAACTTTGTTTCTCTCTTTATAATTCTTCCATAGTTATGAAATATATATCTGCAACCAAAAGACATCGATTTGCAGGGTCCCTCTCTTTGTTGTTTTGTTAATATTGGTTGAGATTTTAGGATCGAGGGACCTGCAATTGAGGGATGCAGCGATGCTAAGGCTGTTTTTAGGAAGGGTAAAGTGAGGGACTTGCATGGTGATTGTGGGTTGTGGTGGTGTTGGGGCTGATTTTGAAGTAGGGTTGAATTTGATTTGGAATTTAGCGGGCTGTTGGTTCAAGGTTGAGAGCTTCGAATGAGCGAGAAAGAGGAGAGTTGAAAGGAAGAGAGAGAAAAGCAGAGATTTTGGCCATTGGATTTGTATAAAAGATGAAATCCATCAGTTTGGAAGATCCCCGCAAAATTAATCTAGAGAAGATTTAAACCCTATTTGTAATAGTTAAAAACCTGTATGACATTCATAGATAAAGAAAGAGGGAGAATGATAGAAATGTCAACTTCTAACTCTTTACAATGGCTTAAAGCTTATGTGGCATTCATTATTGACCTATATCTAATCAATAAAAACATATAATTGATTAAGTCCAAAACAAAAATATATCATTGATATATGACTTAATAGTAAAACTTTTATTGACTCTTGGCCAAATTACCTCTATTTAATTATGTTTTTAATTCTTTAACGAATTTATATATTTTTTTTATGCCAAGGAATTTATAATTTGTTGCAAAATATTAAAAATAAACTTTTATATTAGTTTTTGGTCCACGTGGTCCAAATTTAACCACGACGTCAACACAAATATAAGACCTACATTTGCCATCTCATAATTTAACAGTTAGAAAAACAGATCTTTTAACAGAGTGGACTATGTCTAACTATTCACTATATAGACCTAAACATGCACATATTCGCCCGGTCTGCATTAAAGTAGGCCCATATAAATATAAGAGAGTTTTAATGAAAAACCCGCAGTACTGTTCACTTTATCGAAAAACCACATTTTTATATTAAAAAGTCAATCATGGTACTATTCATTTTACTCTTTATATTGTCCTTATCGTTAAAATTCAAAGTTTTCAAGTTTTTTTTTATTAGTTTTCCTTAAATCTAAATCTAAGAAAACAAATGCTTGGGTCGACATATATAAACAAACTTTTATGGGGTCGAAAACCTAAATAATATAAAGATTCAGGCAAGAGAGTAAATAATAAAACTATAGGCGCGTTATAAGATAGACCCAAAAGGCAGAAGGAAAAGTATGCACTGACTCCCGGCATTCAGTCTGCAGCAGTGTTGCTCTCTCCGTTTGCGCTTTCGTCTCCGTTCCTGCCTCTCGATCCCCCTCTCTCTCCTCTTTCCGGTATCTCTCTCTGTCCATCTCTCTCTCTCTCTCTTGTTATTAGGGTTTGATTCGTTTCTCCTTCTCTATCGATAGATCTCTCTTTGTCTGTTTTGCTCTTCGTGCCCTAGTTTTTTTTCTTCAGAGTGGTTTTATTTTTTGTTCTCTCAATTCAGATTTCCTTCCCTCTTACCCACGGTACTGGGTAGGTAACGGATTTGAGCATCGATGATTGTTTGATGGGATTATTATCATAAGTTGATTCTGTTTTTGTCCTTCTTTGGTTTTGCGAGCTAGGGCCTTTCGATTTTTTAATTTGGGATTTCAATTTTATTGCTTTTTCGCATATATGATTATGGTTATGGTTTTTCTAGCGAATTCTGATTATTTTACGATCTGGGTTTAATGATTTTAGATGGGGATAAAGTATAATACGTGTGTAGAGGTTCTTCTTTTAATTGCTATGTGTGTAGGAGCTTTGTTCAGTTAGATATCTAATTGTTGATTATCAGTTAGGGTTTTGAGGAATCAAATATCAATTCTTTGTGGGTTTGAAGAGTTGTGTTTTTTTGTTTTTAATGAAAGAATAAGAATTTACTTTGTTTTGATGCTTCCTGTGTTTGTTGCTTAGTTTGCAGTTATTTTTTCTTTGGTTTTCATCTACTGATTGGGGTTTGTGTTCTAATATGTTGGAAACAGGTATTTTTTTTGCACCTGATGTCTTTTGATCTCAACCTGAAACTTTCATCAGTTATTAGAGCATTTTGTTTTATGAGCCGAGGCCGGCTGTGGAGGTCACGGAGGATATTGTTCCGAGACTGTACCTAGCCCTCCTTTTCCCGGGGGGACAGGGGGGAGTGTTGTTTGATAATAGTCTTTGTTCTGTAATCAAGAGTTCAGCTACTTGGTTCTTTCTGTCAGAGAGTATTGGTAGGAAGAGGGGTTGTAATCAGGTAGTTGAACTCTAGTTTTTAAATTTGTGATGGGGAAAATGTTTAAGGCTCCTGGGTTTCGGTTTAAACCAACCGATGTAGAACTTCTAAAATACTTTTTGAAGCGGAAGTTGATAGGGAAAAGGCTCCATGTTAAAGTCATCTCAGAGGTTGATGTTTACAAGCATGATCCTTGGGATCTTCCAGGTATTGTTCACGTTGCTTTCTCTTCTTTGAATTATTTACCTATCATCTACGTTGTTGTTGAAGTTGTTTTGCTTGTAAAGATTTCCATAGTCCTTCATTCTTTGAATCAAGTGGTTTCTTACTATGTTTTGCTTTTACACTTCAGACAAATCTGGCTGGGATAGTGGAGATCTGAAGTGGTATTTCTTTTGTCCGAGAGAAAAGAAATATGCACGTGGGAATAGAATTCAACGTGCTACTGTAGGTGGTTACTGGAAGACCACTGGAAAGGATAGATCTGTTCTTTGCAGCGGTGCGGTTGTTGGGTGGATAAAAACTTTAATTTTTCATACCGGTCGAGCCCCACATGGAGATCGAACAGATTGGGTTATGCACGAGTACAGGCTTGAAGATCAGGGCCTGGCTGATAGGGGTGTACCTCTGGTAAGTCATTCACTTCCTCTTTCCATTATTTTTAGTTTTACTGCCTCCTCTCTTTTTCTTTACAACAGAATTTTTGTTCCTTGTAAAATGGAACCAAAGATTATTTGTCTGTGTTCTGTTATTGTAGCAACCAAGTGGAATCTATTTCATGTATCAAAAATTGGATTGACCATGTTGATATTTGCATTCCTCCATTCTTTGTTATACTGGCAGGTTATATTGATCGACTTTTTTGGTTCTTTTGATGTTGCAGGACTCATACGTTCTCTGTATGATTTTTCAAAAAGAAGGGCTAGGGCCAAGAAATGGTGCACAATATGGTAAACCTTTTAATGAGGAAGACTGGAGTGATGACGAGGTTGCTGAAGGATCCCAAGATGCAAACACACCTGGCCCATATCTGGGGCTGCCGTGCAGCGAAAATAGTCCAATTGCTACTAATACGCATTCTCTTGAGGATGTTGGCATAGGTCCTCCGTCTGGATCATGCATATCTGATATTTTACCGCAGTCTTGCAAAGTTCTTCAACCGGTTTCCAGTAATTATGTTACAATGGAGAAGTCTCATGCTTCCCATGGTGATGACATCCCGCCAACTTTTGATTACTCCAGAGAAGAAAACACTTTCTTTATGAGTGAGAATGGGAAAAGTATGGTTGAAATCCATTCTGAAGCAGTTCCAAATGAAAGCATGCCCAAGCCAAATCATGTGCTGCCGAGCAACTATAATGGTTTCGCTTGTACTAGTGCATTCTTTTCTGAGAGAATAGGCATTGG